TAAGGGAGTGTGTAAAAACTACCTATCATGACACGGAGAGTGCGGCAGAGGGTGCAAGTTGCCTCCGTTTCTCTTCAGGAGAGAGGAAGAGGAGCCTGCTGCGGGAGAGGAGAGGAGTGCGGGACCCTCTTCCGAGCTGAGCAGGCGGCTGGAGACCGATCTGGACGAGCTGGACCCGGACGGCACGACAGATGTCAATCAAAAGAAGGTCCTGACCCTCTTGTCTTTTCTGTCATACTGTCGCCCAGACAGGGACTACGTCACGAACGGAACGAGTGCTTTATCCTTCAGTAGGGCCCTGGTTGTTGAGTTCAGCAGTCCTTTACCACACCCCCAAAACAAATTTAAATAAAAATCCTCTAGGTCATAAATGACAGAATTCCCGAATCATACTGATCTTCTTATTTTCTTGTAGAAGACTTTCAAAAAAGAGCTCCCCATTTGAGCGTTTGTAAGGACCGTTTTTAGAAACCGCCCTTGATTAATTCTGTAGTGCTATTCGTTTGTAAATGGATATCCAAGACAGATTTGATCATTATACTAATTTTCTGAACGCTCTTGGAAGACGGAATAATACCGGCTTGCGGTTTGTCTCGGTGTTTGTGAAGTTATTACGGATTGCATTTTTCGACGCCGTTGATTAATTCTGTAGCGCGAATTTTTAAAAAAAGACGTTTTTTTTTTCCTGTAAAAAACACCACCTTACGTTTTCCCTTTAGTGGTTGTGAGGGCGGTTTTCAGAAACCGCGCTAACGGCCTCCGTTTAAAACGCGCGATTCAGGAAAAAAAAAATTAACGGACGTGGTGTTTTTTTCTGTAGGTGGAGCTCATGGGCCTCATCACGCAGCATCTGGAGGCCCTGCGCGGCGCGAAGGAGACCCTGGCGGCGGAGCAGAAGAGGATCAGCGGGCTGGGCAGCACCATGGAGGCCCTGGTGCAGGACCGGTGCAAGCCCAACGAGTGCGACAAGTACCGGATGTTCATCGGGGACCTGGACAAGGTGGTGAACCTGCTGCTGTCCCTGTCGGGCCGGCTGGCTCGGGTGGAGAACGCCCTGAGCGCCGTGGGCCGGCAGGCCAGCGCCGAGGAGCGGGTAAGGAGACGGGAGCCGGCTCTCTCTTTTACTACAATTAAAAGTTTTAGAAAGAGGCAGGTGCATTCCCTCAGGTCGCGTCTGCATGGCGCGGCGCAGTGCGGTCCGGAGGCCTCGACCCGTTTGTTTGGTCGTGTTCGCCATTTTCACCCGAGTCCGCGTTTGCGTGTTTGACAGCCGCGGGAAAACGCAAAATAGCCCGACACTGGCGTCGGACGCGAAGGAGCAGGTTCATTGCGTGCTGGAAGGTAAAGAAAGGAAACGCACACGTTTTGGCCGTTGTGCCTTCTCCGGGTTTCTTCTCTTTTTCTTTCATCGGGGAATAAACTTTTACCGGTTCCTGTGCAGCCTACGCATGCTGACGCAGCTCCCTACTTGGACGTCTCGTATTGTGGGCATGGCAAACAAAATCGGGAACCCGCTGTTAGTTTCTTAAAACCAATATTGCACTGCACACATCACAGGTTCTCATTCATTTCGAGTATTTGACTCTCTAACCTCACGGTAGCTGTTACGTGATTTCTGCATTGGGGGAAGCTCTTGAAAGTTCAATTAGGAACATCAAAGAGGACATTGAAAAGACCACAGGCGTGTACACATGTCAGCAAGGCACAGGTTTGACTCAAATGTACGCAATTTAGAAGAGCACAAGAAGTGTAATCAGTAGAGATAAGTTTTACATATTTCAGAGGAGGACAACGTCTAAGCCAGTGTGCATAGTTCAGAAGAGCACAAGCTTTAAATACGTGCACACACTGTAGGAGAGGACAAGTTCAAGTGAACACAGTCCAGTTGCCCTTTTCGTTCCTTGGTTATCTCTCCACCATAATTGAGAGAGAGATATATGAACTCATTTTTCCTCATTGCACTGTATCCTCTGGGAGACACTTAATTCTGCTGAAAGTCAAATGTCTCCTACTGAAGCATTGTTGTGTCATATTTGATAAAAACCAAATGGTTCTTGGTAAATACTTAAGTTTGTGTGTTTAAGTAATTATAGAAAATTGAGCATGTCCCAGACACAATTGCTGCAATATATTATCATCTATTTACTCTTTGCAACCCCCAGTGTCTGAATTGCCTGTTTCATGATGGGTAGCAGAAGTAGCTTCTCAATGACTTGCAAAACAATTTTAAAGCGATTTGATCTTTCGTAGTTTGCAACAAATTCAAATTTGACCTGTTTAAATACACTAAAAGATTCCTACCAGTGTCAGTTCACCTTCATTCATTTTTAAGAATGACACTGGGTTCCAAAAACCCTACTATTTGGTAAGAAATCCTTGTGAAGTGTTTTTAACAGATGGAAGCAACACAGATAAATCGTTTTCAACTTGGGAGATTTATTGCATATCATACACCAGTGTTTCAGGTCTTGGTTGAGTATTTTGTGTATTTTTGACAGTGTAAGTGGTAATCGTAAAATAGAATTTCATCGAATTTCACAACATTGCAAGTGTGAGATGTTTCATTGTTAATCATGATAAAGATTTTTTTTTTAATTTACACTAACATGAATCAAAAGACACAGCGGCTTCTGCCTCTGAGCACTCCTACGTAAGAAGAATTATTTTTTAATTAGGGTTAGGGGTATCTGTTCTACAGAAAATATTTTTCTTAGTACATTATAGATACATAGTGGCTTAATGCTTTATTAAATACTTGCAGGACAATGGCTTACTGTATAAATTCGTAACTTTCAAAATTAAATACATGAGATAGTCAGTAGAGGGCAGAAGACATTCAGTTTTACTAAGGGCCCTAGGTTTCAGAGAAACTTCAGAGTTCAGTGTAATGCATCAAGCCCTTGGCCACTTTCTCTCAATATCTTCCTTCCCCCAAATGCAAAATGTTAATTGTTTTTTTTTTTCTTTAATGGTATAAAATGTCCACTTTGGACTCAATTCACTTTGAGTAGGTTAGGCTGAGGTCTCCCCAGACAGAGGGCTGTTAAATTAGTACGCAGTACACAGCCTGCTCTGTTAATCATCAGATGTTTGTGCCGCACAGATGGGAACTCAGCACCTCCCTCCCCCCGTCAAAAAAGCGTGTTTCGAAACTGGGTTACATTCCTCTGGTCAGGACTGACACCGAAGGGAACGGGGATGAAACCGACAATGGCAGAGGTGCTCTAGGGAGGCAGGGAGTCACAGCACAGTCCAGTCAAGGTTTGCGATGAGATTAATTGTCACAAAAATGGCCATTTCCAGAGAACACTGAAGGGGAGACACACACCTGGTGTGTTTCCCACAGTGCCCTGAATATAACAGTGTGACATAGTCTTATAGTCCGAGTCCAGCCATGTTATTGCCAAGGATGGGGGTTTAAGAGTCTGCATTCCACTTATGGTCCAGTGGCTCTTCCTGATGACGTCAACCGGGCTTTCAGCTGTTCCCGGGGGGTCGTGTACAGCAGCAGGCGTCTGCTCAAAGTTCCCTCAAGCCCGGTTAGGAGACGTGGCCCCAGGATTTCTGGAGTGCGATGCGCCCGGCTGGTCCGAGGGCCGGGAGCCGCGCGGTGTTAGCGGTGCGTGACGAAGGGGGGGGTGCTGTTTTTGGCAGGAGGCCCTGCAGCAGAAGAGGAAGGCGCTGCGCTCGCAGCACGAGGACGCCCGCGAGCTGAAGGAGAACCTGGACCGGCGCGAGCGGGTGGTGCTGGACATCCTGGGAGGGTACCTGAGCCCCCGGCAGCTCCGCGGCTACCAGCGCTTCGTCAGGACGAAGTCCGCCCTCCTCATCAAGCAGCGGGAGCTGGACGACGAGATCCGGCTGGCGGAGGAGCAGCTGCAGTGCCTGATGGACAGTCTGCCGGCTCCCTGCGCCCCCAGAGCCGCCGCCCCCTGTTTACCGACCACCGTCACCTCGCTGTAGCGCCTCGGCCCCGCTGGGCTTAAGGAGACAGAGCACCCAGCCGGCCCGGCGCCAGCGCTGCGGGCCGGCACTGGGAAATGACGGGTGCAGAAATATCTGAGGAAGACGCCCCCCTGTGGGGGATGAGAGTAAATTCCTTCCCGTTTCACGTGCGCCGTTTTGGAGACGGATCTGATGAGATGGGGGTCTCGGCTTCTAACTTGGAGGGAGAAATAATACGCCTGAGATCACTCTTAAAGGACATCTATGTAGCTGACTGTGAAGGGCTGCACTGCTCTCTTTCCTCCGTATTAAGTTTCTTTTTTCCCCCCTCATATCCTGACTGTTGTTGGCTGTATTATAACAAATGTTAGAGTGCGGCCGCCCCGTGTGAGAGGTGAGGACTTCCCGCCCACTGCCGTGTTCCTGGTTTGGAGTAAAACCACACACAAGGGCCGAATTCGGCATTAGCAGTCTCCCAGGTCACGATCTGCCGTGTTTTACTCATTGTGACTGAAGGACTTCAGGGGTGTGAAAACTGTTTTCTGACAGGCTAGGGTGGGAAAGAAACAGAAGGAAAAAAGAAATGTTAACACTAAACTGAAGGAAAAAGGAAATGTTAACACTCACACAGCTGTACTTTTTTATTATAGGGGACATACCCCCCTTGTGAAAAAACGTCTTGCAAAGAGGAGACCATTTTTTCACATTTTTTCAAAAACACTAAATTGCAAATACTGAAAGTTGAAAATGTATCCTTAAACCTTTACTGCTAGCGAGATGGTTTATTTACTGATATTTTCCGGGATGATATTTTCCAGATGCCCCAGGGCTTTTTTAGTAGGTGAGGTCAAGAAGGGTTTCTGCGTGTACCAGCTGTGGTGGCAGTGGTGACAACCATCAGTCAGACTTGTTTTTCTTGGCCAAATAGCAGGAAAACCCCGATACATGTTTAACAGGTTACCCTTTACTGGACTTGAACGTTTTCACTGGGGGCCTCGAACAAAAGTTTTCACCCACACTAAATGTACTGTAGCTCCACATTCATACTGAAGACGAAGTACATGCAGTAAAGGATGCTGTCAAAAACAGAAATGGTGGATCCAAACTGAAGACTATAATAGACTCTCCATGTATCCCTTGGTAACAGGAGAGAGGAATGTAGGAATGGGACTCGGAAGGAGGTAGCGCTTCTATTGGTGTTTCCTGACATATTTGATCACTTGAAAACGTTCTTACCAGTTATCAATTTTCTTACTTTAGAAGAAGAGTTGGTTGTTTTAATTTAGTCTCTAAAAATGCTCAGTAGCTTCAACAGTATCAGAAGATTACTGCGTTAATTATTTATATATATTTTTATGCAAGTTGCTGTATATACTGTATGCTAACCTTTCTTGATTCTAGTGCTGTAAGTAGAAAAAAAATCTAATTTTGTATTTTGTGAAAGAAAAAAAGGTTCTGTAGAATGTGAGAAATTGGAGAACAGGATTTGCTTTTGGAAAGGAAAGGCCGTATTCAGCTTCTCCGCTTGCAGAGAGATGATAAGGGTTTTATTTTTGAGAGTCTGGGACTAATGAAGATGTTCTGCCTTACAAAGGGCACGCTAATGCCTGGCAATTTCCATACACTGTTGTATAAACTGTTCAATCTGATATTTCTAAACTGAAAATCAGGCTTCAGGAAGGTTTAACTAGTCTCCCATACCCTTTTTACTGTCCACATAATGTTCAGTTTTATTTGAGCAGAGGAGTTACATGTTTTGGAGTTGAGCCAGTATCTCGTGATCAGTCCTGACACTGTAAACTTCCTTGACCAACTCTTGAAGCATTTAAAAGGAGTTCCTTATGGGAAACATTATAGTTCTAGATAAATCATTTACTCACAAGCATTCTTCCATTTAAATTGTACAGAGATCTTCGCAAAACACGCTTCCATTTTAATTTTACAGAGGTATGATTCTTAAAATATCACGATTGTTCAGCTACTGAAGGTCTTGAAACAATGTATTTAATAGGTTAGAAAAGAGGGTATAAAGCATGGAGTTTTATCTGGGGGAAAAAAGCAAAATATTTTGAAAAAGACAAAAAGCCCCTTTCTAACCCATAAAAAGGCTGGTGCTCCTCCTCTGTTGTATGACCATATGAGTCAAGAGTCTTTGCAATATTCTCTCCACCAAACTGTGCAATGAACAGTTCAGGTTAATGGCTGTAATTGAAATGTTCAATTTTTAAGCACATCATTTTGCCAAATATAAGTTTACATGACATTTTGTTTGTGTTTTTTCTCCCCCCAAATCGTTTATCCCTGCACACAGCTTCGTTTCTGTCCCCAGAAGAAAAGCTATCAGATTTATGAGCAGGATGGACTGAATGTTCTCCTCCAGTTCATCGCCTCTATTCTTCTCTTTCTCACATGACACACTGTAACTCTTGCCTGCTGCGATGAAGCCTGTGTGGTGTTCTCAGTCTGTGCGGTGAAGTTTGGGGGGTTTAGGCATGTAGTGCTTTATAGTAAGGATTATTGCAAAGCTGCCTGCATTTGAAGCTAGAACAAGATTGGTCAGAACTGCAGCCCAGGAATTATTTCAGGCCTCAGTACATAATCACCCTTATTTTTTTCCTAGTTGAGAAAAAAAATAAAGCTCATTATAAGAATATTATTAAGGAGGGACATCGTAATCTGTTTTATGAGCCCTTTAGGTATTGTGTTTAGTGAGAGACAGCTGGCGTCTCCAAATTTCAAAACATTGACGAGGCTAAAGTGCATGCCTTCAGCAGTGACCAGCAGAGTGACTGAATACTGAATAAAAAATCTGGAAGATGCTGCAGAAGACTATTAAAATCTTATTTTTTTAAAAAAGAATTTGTAGAAAACTGCCATTGCTGGTCTAATTATGTTGTTTAGCAATAACAGAAAAGACTGACGTTGGAGTGTTTCCTGTTTAAATCTTTGGAAGTGTTTTATCCCTACAGATAGGATAATTTGCTAAAACAACCACTTACCTATAAACATGAAAATATCTCTGCTGACACGTTTAGCAGCCCATGAGCTAACTCAAAGAAGCATAGACTTATGGTCACTTACGACATGTCCTTCTTTTGACATGTCTTACTTGCCAGCAGTAAACTAGTAAAAATACTGATTGTGCCTTCACCTTCGTTACTATTAATCTAATTGGTTTAAGGTGGATTTGTCAGCTTTGTGCTACACCTAGGAAATTTATTCAAAATGACAATTTCATTAGAAACTGGTTTAGTATTAATTAACACCTCCTTAAAATCATTTTCTTGACATTTGCAGGCGGTCGGGTCTACTCCAACACCTGGTGCCAAAGAAAAAAAAAGACTTCCACAACAATAATCAAAATTCGTTTTTGTGTCTTCTGTGGAGCAATGCATTTATTAACATTTAATTGAGTTTAAGCACTTTCCAAAGTAAAGTACAGACATGATTTTTCATTCATTCTGAAGGCTTAATTTATTAAAATGCTTGAATGTAAATAACAATCACAGATGCATTTGTGCTTGGGAAATCAGTTTTTTTCTGTTCAGTTAACTGCAAATATCGTCATATCACAGAATATTTTAAGTAGGTGCCAGAAATTGTGGATTCCTTTAGAGATGTTAAGTTAAATGAGCTGAAATAATGGAGATGCAAACAATGTAAGAATTAAGCAGCAAAAGACTTCCAATGTCAGCACTGCAACGTCAGTGAGAATAAGGACTTCAACTATTATAACTTAAAAGTAGAAAAAAGAAAACATACAAACACAAGCATGTACTGGTCCTGCCGTATGAAAGTGCATATTACTGAAATAAAGGAATTATCCCAATTTTTCATAGCACATACCAGTTGTAAAAATATGCAGCTTCTTCATCCATCCATTTCCTAACAACGTTTTCGAAATCAGGGCTGCAGGGGAGCCAGAGCCTTTTTTATGACAATTTTATGCTTAGTGTTTTGCCACAGTAGAGTAACTGCGTCAAGTTTAATATTGCAGCGCACTGTTTATTAGGCTACACAAAAACAGAGCTCAATACCAATCAAATATTTAGAGATTTTGTTACCCAGACTTTGTAAGAAGGATCACAAACTCCACCCGTGTCTTGTTCACAATTGGCCTTAATATTACAGCAGCTAGAATTTTGTATCGTAACGGTGATCATTAAAAATCTGCTCCTGCAGTGCTGTGGCTCAGCAGCACGGTCTGCGACAGTGTTGCACGCTGTGATGGGTACTGGCTCCGAGGCGAAAAACTCAAATTGAACACATTCTGCAAATAACATGAATGTGTGTTTTAAAACTAAGAAACTTCACCGCAATTTTCCTGTATTTTTGAGGCAACCATTGCAAGCTTTTTACCTGTGGATCTGAGGGCCTGGAAGTCAGGTGTGTAAACTCACACACTATATTTTCAGTGGCAAAAAAATTTGACGTTCGTTCTACCTCGTTTTACTTAAACTAAACACAAAACACTTCATCTCAACACACTGTTGCTGTGGACTTTTAAAGCCAGAGAGACTAGGGAAAGCCATGTGAGACCCCTGGAGTAAAACATTTTGAGTTTAAGGTCTCAACTAATGTAATACATGTGAAAAACAGAAATCCCCAATACATGTTCTGTCATTTAAAGAGATTTCATGTACAGGCCTAAAGTTCAGTGTGAGGATGATTTCTTCTATGTGATGAAGTCAGAATGAAGTGCCTGGTAATTAAGACATCATGGCTCATCTTAACTTTGCAGACACGTATAAAAACGCAAAGAGAAAACTTGTAATTACTAAATCTAAATCACAGAACTTGACATGACCAAAAATAGGAACTATTCTGTGTGGGGTGATAACTACACCCAGGGCATGAGAAGACAAGTATGTTTACACCTTTTGTTGCTTGCCACTAAACGCGCAGGTGAGTTGCCCTAGAAAAAAACCCAACACATTGAAATATAATGATCAGCATGTCTAAGTGTAATCTGTACAGCCAGCTGCGTAATGGCATCTTTCAGGACAAAGTCTGCACCACGACTAGAACCCAGACACCGAATGCCACTTGTGAGCCACACCTTAAAACAATATAATACGTACAAAAAAGCAAGTAAAACATACTGCAGATAAACTGGGAGATAAGCCGAGGTAGTTTTATTGTAATACATTAAACCATTATTTCATCCACTTAAAGCTGTGCAAGCAAATAAGGCTCCTGCTTCAGGATTTTATTACAACAGCCTTCTTGTTAGAAATAGCAAGAACGTCTCTGTGGAAGAAACAGCAAGAAGCTGCCAAGGTGAGGGGTTTGAATCTGAAAGGTCATAAAATCAGTTTTTTTGGCAGCTTATTGCTCATTTTCACTGTCCTGTGATTACTTGGATTTTTTTCAGTTAATGTTTTATTTGCCTGGCACTTTTGTCCAAAGTGACTCACATTTGCATCCACTTACATAGCTGTGTAATAATTTAGGTGAAGCATCTTGCTCAAGGGAACAGCAGCAGTACTACGGCTGGGATTCGAACCCACAACCTCCCAGGTGTAAGTCCAGAATCCTGCCCACTGCTCCACACACGCCTCTCCAGAAACTACTACCTTCAAACACAGGTAACATTACAGAGTCACAAACACGTCTTTAAACTTTCCTTTTATGGCCGTGGACTTTTCCAGTCAACATGTGTAACCGTTGTTACACAACAGGTAAGTGAAGCAAGTCTGCACACGCCTGGACTGAGTTGTCAACAAGGTTTTACACATTCAGCGCAGTTCTCTGAAACCCATAAGCAAGCAGCATCTGAGTCTTTCCTCCATCATCTGATGTGCCAGGTGATCTGTTTGCCCTTTAAGAAAGTACAGTAATGTGGAAGTAATCGGCATGCTTTTAGGTGCACTGTGTCCATGGCTCTGTTTGCAAGGGTAGGGGCGCCAGCCCTGTTGTCCCACCTGGGTTTGTTCAATCTGGCCGCACTGAAGAAACCTCTCAGTTCACTTCCTGAACTGCTGTGCAGTGGGGCTGCCCGGGACATACTATCAGCACCTCAGTGTAGTGCAGGGAATCTAAAACCATTGCATCCAGTACAACAGTTTCATCCATCTCATAATTGCTCTGTTCAATACAGGGCTGCAGTGAGCTGGAGTCTAGCCTGGCAGGCAATGGGTGTTGACAAGGGATCTGGGATGGGACCCCAGGCCATCAGCAGGAGGAAACTGCTTACATTATTACAAGAAAAAAATGCATAAATCTCCCTATACAGTTAGGCACGCCGAGAGGTGTTTCAGTTATTTTCTGACATTGCAGAGGAAGCTCTAGATTTGTCACAGAACCTTTTTAAATGCTGGTTGGACAACAGCTCAACCAGCGCTGAGCTGTTTGGAAGAAGCTTGCATTGTCTTCTGGGGAAGCAGCATTTATATTGTACATTTTAACCAGGCAAACCTGTTTCATCAACACGTTTGCATAGTATCTCTCCCATGACTGAATTCAATATTACATTTTTCTTTAATTAGCACAGCACAGTGATGTTACTACTAATTTAAAATAATTTAGCATAACAATGACCATTTTTTGAATCTGTAAGTAGTTTGCACTGCAACAAACACTTCTTAAACTAAACAGCTTTAGGGTATATCCACCCCATCTACTTTCGAACCTCGTTATCCAATGCAGGGTCACGGAGCCTATCCCAGCAAGCACTGGGCGCAAGGCAGGATACACCCTGGATAGGAAGCCAGTCCATCGGAAGGCACATACAGATACACACTCATACCAGGCCAGTTTTCCCAGAAGCCAATTAACCTACCAGTATGCTTTTGGTCTGTGGGAAGAAACTGGAGCACCTGAAGGAAACCTGTATGAAAATGAGAAGAACATGCAAACTCCACACAGAAACTGAACCCAAGGCCCCAGGATTGCACGGCGGCCGTGCTTATGGAAGATCCTACAACCAAAATACAGAATGTGGACCAATTTTAGACGGCTGACTCAGAAATAGTCGGAGCTGCCTGTAGCTTGGAGAATTTCTTGTGAAACACCGCAAACGAGCTGTGTCTCTTCACCGCTGCCATTGGTAAAGCTGGTCTGTCGGGGACGAACTGCCGGGCTGTACTGGGCAGGTACTGGTTCTGTGGAGCTCCAAGCAGCTGGAGGAGATCTGCAGGTCCGGTGCGAGCTAGGTAATGCCAGGGCCTCTTGCCGCCGGTGTCTCTCAGACTGGGGTTGGCTTTGAACTTGTGCACAAGGACGCGGATCAGCTTCTTGTGACCATGAATGGCAGCAATGTGCAAGGGGGTGTAACCACAGCTGGACTTCACGTTCACATCTAGCTCCAGCCCTGCCTTACTCACACCGTACCACAGGGTATTGAGCACCTGGTGGTCCCCGTGCTTGGCTATCCAATGCAGCACCGTGTACCCGGAAACGAAGTCCTTCTTGCCGAGCAGGCTGGGCTGCTCCCTGAATAAGCTGTATATCTCAGTCCAGGTACCGGCGGCCGCCTTCACCAGCCAGTCGTGTTCTCTGGAGTCCAGGGGCACCGGCGTGCTCCGGTATCGGTACGCGCCCTCCTGCGCCGCCACCGGTCTGGCTCGGGAGGCGTCCCCCTGGGAGATCTCTCTGTAGCTCTGCGCGCGCGCTCTCGGAGCGAGAGCTGGACCGAGGCCCAGGGAGGAGGACAGCAGGAGAAGCCTGCTGTGCTTACCTGAGGTTTCCTCACCGGAGAAAGACCAGTCTAAATCGGCGCCCATGCTGCGGCACTTTCTGCTCCTGAGTCTGTCCTTCTCTTTCCTGTTGCCTGCCCGCAGGGGCACCAGAGGCCCAGATTCTCCTCCAAGAGGGGGTGCCCATGTGTCCTGGCTTGGAAAGTTGCCCATCAAGCCGTGCCAGTCGTCAACTTTTCTCTCTGCGCGCTGGAGCATATCCAAGACTTTGCTCTGCCTGGTACGAGCAAGGCCCTTTGAATTGAGACCATCGATACTCCCCCACTCATCTCCCGGCAACCTTTGAGGGCTCTCTGCATCCTCCGCGCAGGCGTAGGTGGGCTGAAGAAGATTCCCGTGACTGGCCGACAGCCCACTCTGGCTGCACAACGCTGATGTTTTAGCAGAGGGTCTTATGGGGGCTTCCGGGGGCAAAGCATAGTGCAGAGGACGCAAACTGATCTGCTCCTCCTCCCCACTGTTCGCAGAGGGCTCGCAACAGATGCTGCTGGGGGCCTGAAGGTCTCCTGGGCTAGACAGATGGGATGTGCTGTGTGCTGTCGCTTGGGTGGCAATCAGGCCATTTTCAGCTGCAGGGAAGGCTGATACACAAGGGGAAGAACCTGAAATTCGGGGATTTGCTGAGAGTCTGGAATGCGAGGACCATAAAGAACGGGCAGAGTCTAAAGCTCTGTGACCCACCCTTTCATTGCAGTGTCTTTGTGGATTATTCTCAGTAAAATCCGCATTTCCAAGGGCCTTGTTCCGATTGCACGGGTGAGCTGGGTGGCTGAAGAACTTCCTCTCACAGTCTTTGGACTCCTGGCTGTGCTTACTCTCGGCTGCTTCTGACTGGCGGGTTTTAGCGCAGCAAATATTTTCATTTGTGCCCCCGTCAAATGCGGGTTGCTTTGAGCGGATAGGGGCTGCTGGGCGCTCTGCCTTGGGTACGCTCACCTCTGCAGCCCTGAAGCTCTTCTTACTGTAATCTGCCAACGGTGGTTTGATGCTAACCGGAGACGACTGAGAAATGCAGCGGCTTTTAATTACGTCGGTTTTCGAGGACGGTGTTTTTTCTGTAGTATACAGAACGGGAGATTCTCCTGAGACTCTGGGATTAGCAACCGCAACATTATTGCTAAGAAAGGCTGCTGAGCACAGGGTTGAATCCTCGTTTAGCGCGTCTAAAACGCCAGGCTTTTCGCTGGCATTCCGTTTCGCTCTGCTATCGGATGGTTTAAAACTCTGACCTTTCTCGGGTTTTCTGTTCAGGTCCCGCCTGTTTGTAAAAGTCTCTCCCAACCCAGAGTCTTCCGTTTCTCCTGAAGACGAAACCGCGGAGCTGAAGTCTGGAACCAGGTCTCTGTATTTTCTTTTCAAGGCAACGGACGACACTCCGCCTTCGTTCTTCACCACGGCCACGGAGTTCACAAACCTCTTAAACAGATCCCTGTTCTGCGCCTGCTTTTCGGGATCCCGGAGAAATGCATGGAAGTGTCTAAGCAGATCCGCGTTTTTTACCTTTCCTCCCCGGCGACAGAGAAAATCCAAAACTGAAGCTTGACTAAATTCTGTTGCCATTCCTCCAGGCTAAATGGAGAAGAAAAGCTTTTACTCTTAACTCCCGGTTTTGGTTACGCGGAACGTGTGTTACTGTACAAAAGTTTCGAGCGCTCCCAAGTGAAACTCCTCCCTCAGACGATCACTGACCCCACCTGTGACTGCATACCTGAGTGTTGATTGACAAGCTCGGCGGACAGAAAAATAAACCGAATTTTATAGCAAGTATCGGATTCGAATTTCCTAAACTATGCCAAAAATAGATACTTGGCTTTTTAATACAATTTTTAAACACATTTTTGAAGAGAGGGTGGCGTCATTCATTTGTATGGGCCTCAGTTTGTGAAATGAAAGAGTGCGTTGACCCCACAGTTCACTAGACCACCACACTTTTTCCTATGGGAACACGTGAAATCTGTGGTTTATAGCTCAGTAATGAAGGAAAACACTCAGAATCCACACACTCAGGGTTTTGCGTCTTACGCAACATTGAAATAAAAACAACAACAACAACATTTTGGCAAGTATTAAAGTGTATGGATGTTAATGGCAACCAAATGAATAATAATTAAAAGATGGTATTTAATTTCCACTGCTGGTCAAGACGTCTGATTCACCCTGTATAAAATGCATATTCCCTTACTTTGCAAAATCAAAGGCTAAGGCTGTTTTAATTTGGACTCTTCCTTTAGCTAGAAATGCTCTCTGACATGGCACGTTCTGTGAAGTGCACATGCCAAGCTTTTGAAAAGTTACTTATAATTTTCATAAATCCGTGATAAGGGCTCTGAACCCCTAACGAGGAGATCAAGGGGTGAAATCACATTGTGCCAGCGATCCCAGCAACATACAGTAAATGGGTACCAAAATCTAGGTAAAAATATCATTTTGAAAGTTGCTTGGGCTGAAAGCCATCAGCCAAATAGCAATACAGTTGTAATGATGTTGAAGGCCAAGAATGGTCGTAAAAGATGGACACACCCAGCACTCGGTGCTTCAAGGTGTGTGCACGACTGTCAACAGCTGACTTTTATAAACCCATATACGTATGGCCAAGAACAAAAGCTTCCAAAAGTTTAGCTGGAATTAGCCACCAATGCTAAATTATGAGTGAAGAAAATACAAATCAATTTATGTCGTGACATGACCTTGAGTATTGAGCTCTTGTCTTCCTCAGCAGCAGCAGAGCAGCAAGATGTCTGAGGAACAGACTTTCCCAGGCTTCCCGAAGAGCCTAGCTACTGCCAAACGTTCCAGTCGAAGCGACTGCCCTGCTACATGTGATATACAAAGCATGTGACGGACTCATTTAGAGATTAACAAATTCCCTTTCAGTTCTTTTTTTTTTCTTAATCCCACCTCCACCCCAACTTTGGAGGACTTTTTTCCCCTCACTTTCTCATTTTTGTTCTTATCAGACAAAACAATTCTTACATTCACACACACAAATTTAATCCATAAACTTCCTTCAAAGAATTCATTCAAAAACATCCTACTAATATTCTTAACATCCAGTGCCATCCAAGTGTCTCTAATGGGCCCCAAACATTCCTACACTCAAGTTTCCCCTGTAAATTATATGAAATGACTTGATACAGTCTTATCATCCATTCTTCATACAGTCCTGTACTGTCCACTCATTTTTGCAGTATTGATTTTTTAGCAATAATACAGAGTCTAGAAAGTATTTTTATATTGAATTGCTGCATTAACCTTTGATAAATCACCAAGGAAACATGCAATGGGAGTAAGTGGAATTGAGATACTTAGGTACCTGAGAGCTTTCCCCACTGTGGAGGACCAGGATGACTGTATGTGCTGACAATACCAGAATAAGTGTAATAGTGATCCTTTATGTGTGTTACATTGTGAATACATCCCTGTATTATCCCACTTCAATTTTTCTGAGGTATAATAGTCCGTTTAAAATTTTGTACTGAAGCAGTTTATGTATGGCTCTAAATGGATAACTAGCATTATGCCACACAGTATCCCCGTCAAAATTCCCTTTCAGTTCTTAAAACTTTAACCAACCCCCAGGTGAAAAACGTGCAACAGGACAAGGGAAAATGGTGGAGACTTGTGTTTTATTTTTAAGTGCCAGGTCTTCAGCAGTACAGAGGCGGTTATCACATTCAGGCTTCGAAAAGAGCCCTCTGCAAAAATAGCAAGGTTGCAATTAATGAAGAACAAAGGAAAGGTGAAAAATTAAGCAGATTTTGTAAAGAAAAACTTTTTTTTCTATTTTCCGCAAAGGAAACGTTTTTTAAATTACTTTTTAAAGAGAGAATCTGCTCTACGACTGCCCCGTAAAAATTCATTGATTAACGTTTACATCTTGAGTGTGAAAATGATCTTAATGCTTTCTTATTTGTGATAGGAATTCTCTGCAACCACTTATTCCTTAAAAAAACCCTGTGATTAAAAATAGTATTTATGACTGTGTGACAAACTTGCCGAACAGAAAAAGGTGAGGAAATTACTCCCACTATTCTCAAATTTGACAAAATTTGTGCGACTGTCTCAGCCTGGGTCTGAATCTTCCCGGAGCAGTTTAGAAACAATGTACAAATACCTTACAGTACAGACATTCTCGATCTAATTTTACGAAAGCACATTTTCCGGTTAATTGTGAAACAAGACACCAATCACAACACTCAAGGTGATGAAAAAGGATTCGGCGAGAACCAAAAAGTGATTTCAAGCAGTGTAACTTTTAGGAATATTCTTCAAAGATCAGAGGTAATCGTGATGGCAAAACAACCACTTAACACGAATCTCGAGAACAGATAAAACAACATTAAAGAGTGGGGGGAAAAAAGTAAATCTACTTTTTTTTTTAGAACTTTTCTTTTATAATTTTTTTGGATTTTTCTTTTTTTTTTTTTAGCTGTGCTCAACAAAGGGTTATGAATCAGCAGCAAACGGGTTATTTTTCTTTATTTTTCCTCCGGCTCAATCCGGTGTAGCCTGGTGGGATACCGCCCCTGACTGCTGTTGGCCCGCCAGCCCTCGGCCGCGATGACGGACGGCGGCCGCG